TTCTTCTCTCTTTCTCTTTTCTAATCTTATATTTCTCTCTTATTCAAAGCTTAAGAATTTACTTGTTCTATTGATAGTTTATATTTTAAATTTGGAGAAAAATATATTGCAGCAGGCCAATTCATTTTTGAAAATCAAGTCTACATTGTTCTTGAATCCGGTAATATCATTCTAATTTCTAATATTATTTTTGTTGTGTCTTATGTTTATTATATTTTTTTATTTGATATTGTAAATAGTGTTAAAAATATTTGTTAGATTTTAATATGCCAACTAGAAAATATGAATCCGGTCATTCAAAACTTAAAAGAAAAAGAAAAGTTGATAACTTGATAAAATCTCAAAAAGGTGCTCTTGATAAATTTTAGAAGTGGTTTGGCTATATTATCGATTGAAAAAGAATTATTATAAAGATTGACTGCACAAAAATTATTAACAACTTTGCATCTCAAAAAACAAGAAAAATAGATTTAAAATAAAAATATTTTTAATTTTTAATTATTTTTTTTAAGGCCACTAGTTTGATTTTGGCCTTAGGCCACCAACGGGTTTGAGCCGCCCCTGACTTTACTCCTAATTTGACAAGTTTCGAGACGGAGCTTAACCAATTTTTTGCTTAACCAAATATATATATAATTGATTACTCTTTTAGATGGATCTTAATTTTGGAAAACTTTCGCAAATAACCATTATAATAAACTTAATTATGCTCCACAACTATAGTTTGCATATTTACGGGTTGTAGCTACAGTTTAAGCTGTCTCGTTTGTATAATTCACGGATTTGTATAATTTACGGGTACATTTGTATAATTCAGTTATTTTTGTATAAACTTGAAATAACAAATTTATACAATTACAAATATCGAAAGTGTGAACAATTATACAAATTATAAATTATACAAAAGTTATACAAATTATATTATACAAATTCTGAATTATACAAACGTGCGAATTATACAAAACTAAAAAGCTGAGCCGCATAATTATAGGTAAAAGTAGGTTGCGAATTGTAATTAAGACAAACTATAGCTATGTTTTGTATATGTTTGCTTATACAAAAAAAAACTAATTAACTAGTATATGTTTGCTTATACACGTAATTTTCCCCTTAATTTATTACTCTTTTTTTTGCTTGATATAGAGTCAAGAAAATTTTTAAAAATTGAATGTTATGAATTTGAATTTAAAATATATGAATATATCAAAATGTCTTTTAATTTTATGGTTTAGAACTTTTTATGTGAAAAGTTAAAATTATAAAATTGTCAAAAGAATAAGAAATATTCTTTTTGAATGAACTAAAAAGAATATTAGAGCAAATAAATTAAAATGAAAGGAATATAAGTTATAATAAATAGAAATTGAAGACAATTTAAAAAGTATTTGCAAAGCTTTAGCAAAAACACAGATTTTTACCCGCAAAACAGTACTCCCTCAGTTCTAATTTTGATATTTTCTTTTATTTTTATGATAACTTTTAAATTTCAATATTTTACCTGACATCTTTAAGATTATAAAAATTAATTTATTCTAATTTAAAATAACATTATTTAAAAACCCTTCCTGTTTACTTAAATTTCATCCCTAGTTGCACTAAAATATTTAAATTGAAACAAGTTAGGGATTAATTAAACTCCATTAGTTCATTTTTATTTGTCATTGTTTAACTTGACACATCCATTAATTGATGTGTCCTATTAACTTTTGGAGAATAGTATTAATGTTGAGGGTAAAATATGAATATTAAAAATGACAACTTAAAATGAAAATCTGTTTTAGAAATAAGCAAAATATAGGGAGGATTACTACCAAGTACACTTGATGCACCGTGTAGTTAATTAATTGAAGTAGTAACTTTTCAACAAATGCATATGGAACATTTTCATTTAAGAAATTGATCACAAACAAACATCTTATCTATTACATTACAGCAATCAACTAAGCATGAATTAACTACACTTTTTTCTAATTAAAAGAAGATTAATTAACAACATACATGCATATATATATATACTTAATTGTCGTTTTAATTAATTATACTTTAGCCGTGAAGAGCAGCAAGGCTATTGATCAAAGCCAAAGCATTGCTCGTCATATGTGCAACTTCAAGTATCTTTTCCCTTACTACTGTCTTAACTTTCCCGTTCATCACTTTTCCGGCGAACCCCTCGGTACACGTGTCCTCGTCCGTCAAGGCGGCACTCACCCATGTTTGAATATCATTCATTTTCAGATCAAAATCTTTTCCCCTCAATTCCTTCATTTCCCCTAAAGATTTTTTAATTCCACTAACTGCGTCACTTAATTCCTCCACACAGTCACGCATGGCGCCTACCTCTCTAGGCGCCATGCCTTGACTGTATGCCAATTTCAACATCATAGCGGATGTTGATTGGGCTGTTTCGAGGCTAACGGTGAGGGATTCATGTGCTAGGAGTTGTGGAGAAACTCCAATAGCATTTGAACGGCTTGATAATGAACTGAAACAGAGATTTGGATAAGTTGTTGACTTACAAGATGTTCGTATAAACTCTGTATTTGTTTCTCCCGCAGCTGGTCTTGCAGACTCTATAAATGAACAAGTGATCAAGGCAATTAAAATTAGACAGTAAACAATTTGGAAATGGCAACGGTTATTACAAAAACCTTCCATCTCTCTGTTTCTCTAAACTGTTTTGTTTCTCTCAGTAGTATATATAACTAAAGCTAGTTGAGTGTGATGAAAATGAGAATGCAGAGTTCTGCATTTATAGGGAAAAAAATGCACAAGTGGGGTGGGGAAAGGGGATGAGCTTGCACGGTACCAATTAAATGTACACCAGAACAAGTTTTGTCTTTGTATCACAGTAGAAAGGCATAAACAATGGTTAATTAATCAATTGTAAAGTATTCACTTTATTTGAAACTTTTTAAGTTTGGAGTTGTGTTTGATCATAAATTTTGCAAAAAAAATATTTAAATTTGAATGTAATTTTTTCTAAATATGGTTTATAGTTTATACCCCTAATTTCTAAAAACTAGCAAATTGATCCAACTTGACTAATTTATCTGAAACATACAATCAAATATGCTCCAAATCTCAAAAAGAAAATAGCCACGTAATATCATAGATTAGATCCAACATACATCTACGATGTACTATATTACAAATATATTTTCACTATAATTACAATTTTTGAAGTTGAAGTTGTGTTTGGTTATATAGTTTTTGAAAATAATATTAATTTGATATTTTGAATGTACTTTTCAGAAAAACTTGAAAAGTAATTTAAATGATTTGGTTGTTTTTATAATAATAACAAATTCAGGAAATTTGTAAAAGAAAAATATAGTAAAATTAAAAACAAAGTTTTGGGTATTTTCAAATTTTAAATTTAACTTCCAACTATTATAGTATAATAAACTTTATGGCCCCACACTGGATTTTAAATAAAGTAAAGATAATAATAAAAAAATAAAAAGGTGAATTATTCTTATGATCAAATCAATCCCAAAAAGCCAAAACTTTATGGCCCAGAAACTTGTTTATAAAATATAGATAATGTCATTTTTCTTGTTTTTAAGAAACTTATTATATTAAAACAAAAAAACCTCAAAAAGTTTTACTAGCTAAATTTGGAAAAACTAAAAACCATCTTCCTTTGATTCCAAACACACCGTGGTGATTACTATTTTAAAAATAGGAAAACGACGTGCATTGCGATTGCATTGCCCACATTTGAGCCATAAAGGAGAACAAGTGATTCATGTATTTTGAGTGAACAAAAATATAAAGCTTAATCCTCGAGGTTAATCATATTTTATCCGACGAGAGGGAGTTGCTCAGATGGTAAGCACCCCTCACTTTCAACCCGAAGGTTGCAAGTTCGAGTCACCAAGGGAGCAAAAGGGGTGAGAGCTCCTAGGGGAGGGTAGGTAAAAAAAAATAAAAAAGCATATTTTATCCATATTTCTATGAATTAAAGTTCAAATTTTATCTATTTAAAATATTAAGACTTATTCACGTGATGTTTAGACTTTTCCTAAATAACAAAACATGCTTAATCATATTTTCCCCATAGGGTCTGAAGCATTGGTCCACTCCTTTAATTTGCATGAATCACGATGTTGTTTGTAGTCAAAAAAGTTCAACTGAATAAATTTATATATATATATTAGCTGCCAATGCATACACGTATTATATATTAATTAGGATATACAAACGTTTTCGCCGACTAAATATGTGTTTATCATACTAAAAAAGAATAGATCGAGTTTGTTCCAATAGTCTTTTTCTAAATGGCAAAATTGTGTACGTAATACATATGAAGACATGTATGTGTATCTACTTGGATTTGATTTGATGGTATTAAATATAAGATTTAAACTTTGATAATGATATTTTGTTGCTCATGGAGAGGATGGGTCCTGGATATTAATATACGTATTGATTACTTTTATAGCACAATGTATTTCTAATGGAGACCAATGAAATATCCAAAGGCCACTTTTCTTATATCTATTTTAAATAATTAGTTGTGCAAAGTATCTAAACACTAATTAAATTGTATTCTAAACAAAATATCATAAA